TTATTCTATGACTTTTGGCTAATCAAAAATGATGGATGACTTGATACATTTTGTTTCTGCCTTTTTATTTTATAGGCGGGGAATTAATTTTTCTCGGTGTCGAACTAAGTTGATATATATATATCTAAAAGTTTATTGTGTTTATAATTGTGAGATAGGGTGAGGTAGTGAAATAATATGACTCTAAATAAATAAGAAAGTGGAAATTTTTCGACGATGGGATTTATGTCTTAAGATCTATTAAAATAGGAGACATTTGTGATGTGTAGAGGGGTGTATGAAAAAAAATAAATCTATAGATTCAATGTCAGTCTAATCAGGATAGGTTCCGAATGAAAAACCTGTCACTTATTTAAACATTAACATAAATAACGTGTATGTATGTGTGAATGTATATACATATACTAGGCATGTGTATAACAGAATAAAAGGAAAGGAAAATAAATTAGACAAATTAAAAATTTTAAAACAAACCTTAAATAAAAGTAGAAGAAAAGACTTTTGATTTACACGGATTAGTTTTATAGTTTTTTTTTTGTTGTTAAACACCAGAAGTGAACTCATTTTAATCTCCTAGTAATTAAGTCTGATTTCTTTAGGTTTACCTTTTTTTAAAAGAAAAGAAAATGATTATGATTATTTCCATTTTGGAAATTTTAAATCTTGAAATAGGTCAAGTTTTCACTTATTCGGAAGTTACTTTATACCGCAAATGATGCATATATTATTAGAAAAAGGTAATATCGGCTAGTGGTTCGTGTAATTTTTTTCCTTATAGAAGCATGTATTTAAGGGGAAGAAGTTTCGAATCAAAATATCGAGTGAAATACTGTTAATTTCAATCGCTGTAATGTTTATAGATACAAGTTTTTTAATGTCTTCCATACACTCAGTTTCCAACCGTTGTGAAACTATTTGCTCAAATTTATGTGAAAGTTCTTTACTGGGAATGTTATTTCATAATCACCATATATTGTCTATTTCAAGGGAATGTACAAGTAACTTCATTTCTTCAATAGTGGTGAAATCGTCTAGTGTTAATTTACTATAGTTGCTAGTAATCAAACTAATAAATTAATAGGAAATCTAAATACTGTTATAACGCTTGGAGTCCGAGACTGAAACCGATACGCAAAACTTTCAATTATTGAAGTTCCAATCGGCTAATTAATGACAAGATTAAAGGTAAGCGATGAAGTTTGTTGGGCTGAACTGAATCGAAATGCATAAACACTAATTTGTATATGTATATATATAATTCTTAGAAAATGAAACTATTTCTTGATCAACAACATGAACTTTTCTTTAGGAAGATTTTTTGATTAGCACAACATATTCCTCTCATTTGGCGACCTTTGATTGGTGCACTATATCGAATACCATTTCTAATGTTTACAGAGTATGATTTCACCATGGTCTAGGAATAAAATTTCCACGTGTGAAACAAATAAATACGTCTTTCAAATGTTTCATTAATTAAATAAACATGAAATAGAAAAATAATACTTTAACCAGCCAATACATTAAATTTATGCATCAGTTTTTCAATACAAACTGAATCATTGTGAATATAAGTACTGTTTTTCGTTGATATGAAACACATGCTATCATCAACTAGTCAACAATTGATTGATTATATTATATTAGCTGTTAGTCAGCAAATCATCCCCGGAAAAAACTTCTGCAATTGATTTCTAGGCTGATTTCTGTTTATAAACGTATGTTCTGATTACGAAAAGGCAAATTGAATTTACCCAATACTATTTCAGAAAATGTCTACCGTTGACTTATTTCGATTGTTGTTTACATTTGAAGTTAGATCTGATGTTATAAATTACTCAATTCGCGAAAAATTGTTTACACCCCTACTGATATCAAAACAACACGATACTATTCACTATGTTAACTTGGACTGCTTTTACACATCCTCAATATATTCATCTGTTGATTATTAACATAGCTGCTACAAGAATTGAAATTATATCGAAATATTTTATTAATTCTCCTTTTGAATGTTATGTAAATGTTGTATAAGGAAGAAAATTAAATTATGCGTAACTTCTGGGGGCTATTTATGGACTGTTATTATGTATATATATTCTTATTGTATAACTATTTAGTAACTATACTATATATGCATATTCATATTCCTTTTATTATAAGTTTCCATTTGACCTAATGACTGCTATTATACGATTTAATGTTCTTAAGTTATTCCCAATTTATTAGTTAAAGTATCTCACACTCACAGGCACTTTTGGCCTGACCTTGTATTATTGTCATTTTCTTTTTTTTTATGGTATGGTGCGGTCTGATTTGTTTGTATATAAACTGCCTTTATCTGAAATATGTGATCCATATGGTAGAGGCTCATATTGGTGTTCTGGACTTAACCAACTGGGTTAGACAACAGACTACTATTTCAGAGGACAAATATGAACTCAGAGTTGACTCTATGCTGTTCATACTGATTTATGCGTCATTAATTTGGCACAGTGCCAAGGTCATATATGTTGGTGTTTTTAATGAGCGATTTGATTACATGATATATTACCAAGTCCATAGGACATAACAGTATTCTAGCAACTGTTTATTCATCTTTCTTCCGCTTGATCAATTAATCATTCGGTATTAATTTGATAGTTACTTATAAGTTATATAATTAGCATGTTACACTGCTACTTGGTTAGTATAATATTACTGTTGTTATTTATATAAGTATATATCAGTATAGAGCAGTGATGAAAAGCTAAGTGCAAAGACTTATCTGCTCTGTTCACTTATTTAATAATCTACTTTAGTCACTAAATCAATATATGATATTAAATCTAGTGAAAGGATCTGCCTGTTTTTGTTATCATGATCCCAGGAATTTATTCGTAATGAAAGACAATGTTATTTGTTACTAGTCACCCTAAACAGTACTAAATTTCAGACCAGTATAATCGAAGCCTGCAGTCTAGTTAACTAGCAAGGAATTTTAAAACTACTGGAAAGGAGTATACAAATTTTTAGAAAAAATCAACACTATTTGTTGTTTAACGTGTCAATTTGTAGAATTTCTAAAAGTATTCACTGAGGTACCAGTAAAAACCAGGTACCATCAAACGGTCATTTTGTCCTAGTCCTCAGCAGTACGTACCGACTACTCTTCTATGGTTTAAGCTCAGGACCTTCAGGTTTTGGAGTAGACGCTTGGCCATTAGAACCCTGAGTCAGCAGCCAGTGGTACAAATCCAAGTTCAATCATTTTTTGTGATATGGTGCGATGATCATCTGGTGCCACTACAGACAATTGTTTCACTTTCAATACATCTGGACTCCACAATCCACTATTTTTCACTGGAACTCTTAGAATATCAGGAATTCGGTTACTGGTCTACTGTACAGTACAGTTTAACTGAACAAGTTTTGTGTATATTGATTTATTTTTGTAGGCTTTATTTACCAAAGACTGATCTCATTTACGATGTTAAATTAAACTAGCCTTTAATTAAAATATTTTCCTTACAATAGTCTTAAATATTTGTAGTTATATACTACTTTTTTGAATTCTTTAAACACTATTTTATATTTTACTGACCAATCAGAATAACAGTCATCTAATTATAAATAAAATTGATTGGTTTTATAAGGAAGTGGTTTTTTTATAACTGATTAATCACTGAGTAGTGACCAGTTTCATGTATCATAGGTACGATTTTCTGACATATGCCAAACAGTATGAAACGTAGTTCTAGGATCTACTGTTGATCGCCTCCAACTGCCATCTTATCAAAATAATTTTAGTTAGGCATCTATTGAAATTAATCAGATTGTAGTACAATGTAGTCTTGAAGTTTAAATGTTTAATCATATGAATTATGGTGTGTTTTTTTCAAATTACAATGTAGTATACTTTTATAGGGTTACCTCTGTTTGAATTATTTATTCAGTAAGCATTGATTGTATTACAACACCCATTTCTCATTGTCACTTTCCTCAATACGACCAGTTTTTTTCCGTTCTTCATTATATGTTTTATGAGAAGTCTTATTTACAAATTCAATTTTTGCTTGACTTACACTTACGATTTGATTTATCTTAATATTTTTTAAAATATTTTCGGTAATAATTATTAGTTGACAACTATATTTTTCATTATTTCGTAATAACTATAATCATTTGAGCTAACCACTTGAAGAATATTTTGTCCGTTCCCTTGTAAACAAAAAGAAACGACGGATTTTTTTAAATTACCAATTATAGTGTTATCAACACTTTTTTCTCAATTATCTTCCATTAATCAATCAACCCTAGTTACATATTCACTTGTTTACTTGAATCTTCTCATTGATGTTTAGGACTGTAATTGATCAGTCTGTTATTGACATATGTGTATCCTGTGTGGATTGCCTCGATATTGGCTTAATTCAATGGAACGATTCAAATAACCAAATACAAAATGAACTAAACTTCAGCTCATTGTACAAGCTAGTGGCTATCTGGACTCAGTAGCTCAGTGAATAACACGGCGACGTCTGAAGCGAACGTTACTGGATTCGAGTTGTGGAGTGAACATCAACTCTAGAATATAGATACATCCAACTAACGAGTTCCGAATGGAAAGAAACAGCGTTCTGGATTCCACTACTAGCCATCGTCCATATCTACTTATAATTTATTTTATTATTTTCGAATTCGAAAATACACCTTTTAAACATATTCTTATGAATTATATTAACAGTTCTGAAAATGTCTTCTCATGATTGATACATACCTTATTAAGTACTCTATTACATTTTAATAATAAACACCAAATGGATAATTAGACTGTATGATAATTCATATGAGATCGATTCATTTCTATAATAATTCAACTGATCGTAAGTTTTGAATAGTATTAAATAGATTTTCGGAGGGATCATAAATGTTTTAGAAAACTGTTATGCAATTTATGGATTAGTAAAAAAAATTAAGCCGAAAAATTAATTTATAAGATAATTCAATCGATTTTCTTATTACCATGTGAAATCATCATCATCATCATCATCATCATCATCATCATCATCATCATCATCATCATCATCATCATCATCATCATCATCATCATCATCATCATCATCATCATCATCATCATCATCATCATCATCATCATCATCATCATCATCATCATCATCATCATCATCATCATCATCATCATCATCATCATCATCATCATCATCATCATCATCATCACCACCACCACCACCACCATTCATTTATTCATTCACACGAGTCTGAAATCCCTGTGTTCGAATCACGCGAGCGGAATGGTGGGTGCACACTGATGTGAAGTCCCACAATGCAACGAAAGAGCCATCCAGTGCTTTCAAGTCTTCAATGGTGGTCTAACATCATTCGGTTCATGATCTGATTCATTATTTCGTTTAAACAAAAACAAATTGCATATTAATTCATAAATTAACTTTTATATGAATTTCAATTTGAAATATAAAAATCATAGTAATAATAATAGTAATAGTAATAGTAATAATAATAATAACAATAATTTGAATTGTGCGCGCTCAGATAATCAATATATTGATTGGTATTAAAATGTAATTTGGAATGAATTATTTTAATGATAATCGATAAAAATGTTTCTTCAATTTTATTTTAGTTTATTTTTCAATTTTTTTCCTCAACATAATGAATTAGAAATAAAGGAGAAAACTTTTTTTAATTCTCTTTCTTTCTTTTTGAAAAAATTATGTCAATAGAAGAAGCACAACACTATTTTTGTTTGAAATTCTATAAAGGCAGAAATCAAAATGCAGCATACAAGTATATAATTTGAATTAAATGTTTATGGAATTACTTCTATTGTTAGTAGTATCAGTATTAGTAGTATTAGTAGTGATCATGTTGGAAGCAACAGTAATAGTAGTAGTAGTAGTATAAGCTGTAGAGGGATGAAATATTAAATGATTACGTAAATCTTGAGTGTTATAATCTATAAAATGTTTGTTATGGCAATAAATATTATGGTTATTATTATCATTATTAACAGGAGTAATGATATTATCATTGATATGACTTAATTGTTTGTTTTCATCCATAGATAATTGATTATTAAATGTTTGTGAACTGATTAAATTCCATGACTGATTAATTTTATTATTTAAATTATTAGAGATACATAACGTAGGACTAGTTGTTATTGATGTTGTAATCTCATCTATTTCATGATAAGTACTACCTAAAATTTTATCTCTTATACGTTTCTTTTGTTTCATTCGACGATTTTGAAACCAAATTTTCACTTGAGTTTCTGTTAAATTTAAATCAGCTGCAATTTCAATACGTCTTGCACGTGATAAATAACGATTAAAATGAAATTCTTTTTCTAATTCAGTTAATTGTCTAGTTGTAAAATTTGTACGTCCATTTAGTGAATTATTATTGTTAATTATGTCATATTTTGATTGATTATTGAACTCTGTACAATCAATAGAACGTTCATTGTTATAATTTAATGTAGTTTCATTTCGATGTAAATTATTAATAGAATCATTCATAGTTGTACACGACAGTGGATTATAATTTATATTAGTGTTAAATGTTCTTTGACTAGATTCCATATGATCTGGTAATTCAGACATCCATGCAGATAAATTTGTCTCATGAGATGGTATAACACTGATTTTATTGATTTCTGAATTATCTTGAAATTTTGGATTATTAACAAGTAAGAAATTATTTGAATTCGATAAAACAGTAGATTTTGATGAATTAGATTTTTTAATTGTATTTGATTTGGTTGCAAATGTGTCTATAAAATGATAAAAAAATAAAAATTATCAGTATGAAAACATAAAGCGATCAGTACTTTGAATAGAGTGATTAGTCACTGAGACGTGATTGCTGTCATGTTTTTTTGGTCATTTTAAAGATGATGGAATTCAATCAACCAAGTTGTAGGTCGGCTACATCTCTGAATATTTCGTGCATTGTGTTGAGATGTTAGGTGGTTAGATACTTACTTGCTTACACCTGTTAACCCTCATGGGGGAGTATAGGCCGCTCACCAGCATTCTCTATCCAACTCTTTCTGGGAAATTATTTCCAACTGCTTCCAGTTGCCATTCATTCTTTTGATGCTTCTTTCTGATTTTCGGCTCAGTGTGTTCCTTGGTCATCCTCTTTTCCATTTCCCTTTAGAATTCCAAGTTGAAGCTTGCCTAGTGATACAGTTTGATGATTTTATCAATATGTATCTTATCTGCTTGCAATGTCTTTTCCTAATTTCCCAAATATTGGTTTTATTCTACTTGGATTTGGTTGGTATGGACCACGACCAATATCTTGAAGAACTGAGATATCTGTACAGATTGATTGCTAACTATTGACTAATGCTATAGTCCTTAACGGTAACGTTTCATTTTGTGAACTTGTGTGGCATAGGTTCAAATCCACCAGAGAGCACCATTTCCTTGGAGATAGCTGATTTAGCATGTTGAAGTGTGTCATCTAGCACGAAACATAAATCCTGGATTTTCTTCTGACTTTATGACCACCTAAATATCAAATACTATAGGCAAATTTGATACATTTAACAAATGAAATCCTCAAGTTGAACTTTCATTTTATTTTTAATGATTTATTTCATGTCAGTAAATCTACAATTATCGAACTCATTTCACCAGGGATTATTTTTTAAAACTTTTATTAGTGTGAGGGGAAGGATAGAATCAGTGATGTAATTTTTTTATAGTTAAATAAATAGCTCAACATTAATGTATATCTCAAAGACCTAGAAAATCTAGTTCATCAATCGTCATTGACATTCATAGATTAGTGTAATATGTGTTCTTAGCAGGAAAACCTATAAATATATAATGAGCTGAATTAAATGATTTTCATGATGATGCTTCACATAGTTTTCATTAATTTCATTAAAAAAAAAAGGTGAAATGTGTTATTAAACAATGAAAACTAAGGAGCACCAATAAACTATTTCATCTTAGATCCAGCTATATTAACGTCTAGCATTCATGACTCACATCGAGAGCATTCAGTCCCCCATTTCTAGTACAATAACAGTGAACAACTAGTTTTATAATCAATAACAGTCAGCAAGAAAAATTACTTTCAAAATCTATTAAAATACTAAATGTTCAGTCAGTTTGATAGTGTAGATATTAGAAGGTGTAAATAATTGTTGAAAGTGATCTTATTTTATTGTCAAGTAAATTATTAGTAGATTATCTTTTATACAGACTCTAATTTATGGACGACCTTTGAACGAATCTTAAGTGACCTTGAGAGATATCAGCCAATCAGCAAACAGTCAGTATAGAGTAAAAATATGTTATATTAAACCAAGGAGATAAAGTGGATACACTTCTTATACGTGGTTCAAAAACTTGTCAAGTTTAAAAAGAGGTTCAGAGGTTCTAAAATCGTAATGCATCCAGTAGAGGAAATCATCCATACTGCTACAGAACAGTCGGCCCTTGAAGCTATGATAATGACTCAAAAGCTCTTTCAGCCTCGACCACATAGCTTCAGTGTTGTTGAGTGCACAAAATGCTACTTGTGGATAACAAAACGATGCACATAACCAAGCCTACGTAAGAGTCTGTACGCTTTCCAAACATCCGTATATATTGTAGTACCTGGCTGCAGCCAGTGTTACTGGTGCTTTTATTACCCAGTTCTCAATAATTGTCGTACTTTGCCTTAGTTAGGAATTATATATGGGGTTTTCATCACGAACTGACATCAGTTATAATGCCAGAAATTTATTTAGCCAAATGGATAGAAGGCTTTCGCGCCAAAATTCGAGATCTATTATCTTATACCTGATTGATTCGTTCGCAAATTATGGTCTCGCTGTTTTATATGTTATACCCGCTCAGTTATCACGTTTTGTACAAAATTCCATGTGAACCGCACGTACGTTAGCATTAAGCATTGAAGTTGAGGCCATAACCTTGAAATCTCTAAAACGCCTCTGATTGGCTCGTTCATAAATTAGAGTCTCGCCAATTAAGGAGATGACAATCAGTGGAGTGTTATTATTAACTCTACTGGAAGTGTAAAAGATACAGTTTAAATAAATAAATGATATAGAAGAATGAACAGTCTGAACTGACACTTAAATCAAACTTAATATCAAGTACAGAATAAATAAAATTGGATTAAATTAACCGACTTGATTGTATATCACCTAGTCAACTAAAAGTCAATGACTTAATGGATTGATTTTGTGAAAAATCCTCATTGTCATTTGAATCATATAGAAAATCTTAATAAATTAATATTGTCTACAAAGCAAAAAAAAAACAAACAATAAATAACAAGCAAAAAAAATAAAACTTCTACACCATAAGAAAAATCTTATTATAATGACTTTCTGTATCCAAAACTTTATTGTTTTAATTAATATTGACAATTTAATCAAAAGTGTTTAATAAATTTGTTATCATAGTAACTACACTATGACTAACTAACTAATTAACTAACTAACTAACTGATCATCTGTTGTTCGCTTGTTTGTTTGTTTTTAACAAAGAATTAATTGAAAAATTATGTAGATGAAGGAAGTATAAACCATTAAAGAATCGATAATACTTTGAATAGTTAAAAAGAAGACAAAAAAAAAGAAAAAAGAAGAAGGAATAGGATATACAAGGCCAAAACCAAATGAAATCAATTTACAAATGTTTTCTTTTTTTTGTTGGAAAATTGACATACTTTTTAAATTAATGATAGTTTCTTATTCATTTCTCTTTTCGAAAAAATAAACATTTTACTAACTATGAAATTAAAACAAACAAACAAACATACAGACGAAACAAAACAACAACAAAAAAGACGTTTATTTCAATCAGATTGATAAAAGTTGACCAATCTTGTTAAATTTATCATCACTATTGAACACTTATGAATATTATTTATTTATTGTTTAAATAATTAAAGAATAAAAAGACATGAAGGTACAGTTGAAATGATACCTGACAAATGAATATTCATCATTACTGTTCCCTTATTTGTATATAGATGTATAAACAGGGGATATACAAAAAGAAAGAGAAGAATTTGGTCTAGTCTCTCAGAGATTTTATTAATATTGGAAAATGAGTATAAAACTGAAATTTACTTAAATATAAATACACACACACACACATAGATACATGAAAGTAGATGAATTAACATAAGTAGATACTAACATAGTTTTAGGTAAAAGCTTTAAGTGTTTTAATCAATAGTTGAA